CTCTCAAATAAATAAATAAAATCTTAAAAAAAAATAAAATAAAATGTTATAACTTCCAGAGCTGATAATTTAGATGTGCTAATAATAATGTGGCATAAACAAAGCACAGCACTATATCAAAATATTTTGCTTTTTAAGATATTTTGGTAACTGTACTACTAATACTGAAATGACTATTTCAGTATCATTAGTTTCTTCTGAGTTCCTGGATTCCACATATTTTATTTTGTGCATTTAATAAGCATTCTTCTGAAAGGGGAATATAGGCGAAGAAGCCGAAACACAGAGAGAGAGACAAAACGGTTCAGACCAGAGACACTGCTGGAGCGACCATACAAGGTGACCCATGGGGTCAGAGGCTCAGCTCCGGGAACTGCCCAGCAGACCCCATGAACCCTCAGGAGGCTGATGACTTCATTTATGAAATTCGATCTGCGAGCAGACACTCGGGTTAGTGAGATGTGCTGCTTGAATTGTTCAGTCTTCCATCAAAGACACTTGGTATCAGGTGACCCCAGGAGGAGGGAAGGCCTCCCTGTGTCGGATGCAGGGGCCTCAGAGACAGAAGCCAGGGGAGGCCCACTTCTGCTTGTGGCTCTTTATCTTGTCTCCTTGAAGAGAGAAGGGGACTTCCTTAGCATAAAATCATCACAGGCTGGAGTGTTGGTGATACCCAGCTTTCAGGGCAGCTATCTTAACTGCTAGGGTGGTTCTACTTCTTGGAATAAAGCCAGATTAGCCTGGACACTAGAAAACTTAGGAGTGCACTTAGAGCGTCAAAAACCAGGGCCCTGTGGCTGAGCCATGCATTCGCTGAACTTCTCAACAAGCATTCGTAGCCTCCCTATGCAGAGACCGCAAGGCAGCAGGGAGCACAGAAGAGTTCAAGACTTGGTCAGTGAACGGCTTCGTAGCATCTGACATCTTGCGGCTTTTCAGTTTCATGAGCAAGCACGGTCCAAGGCACTAGGAGATGAGTGACTGCCAGGTGACGCTCGGGGACCAAGAAAGGCCAACGGAGGCTGTGGAGTCCAGTGAAGACTGACTGAACCAAAATACGACCGACAGAAGTGCCCGAGACTCATCTTAAACAATTCCACAGACAGCCCCCAAAGAGTGCAAGAGAGGCAAATGGTAAGACAGCTCCCTTAAGGGTAGGATGAGGTAGCCAACCGGCACATACCTCCGTGTACTCCCTGTAGCTGCGACTGATCTCCGACAGGCTCTCACGGGCAGCTCGGCTGCTAGGCGAGGCCGCGAAGGCTTGCTTCATTTTGCTGGCACCATCTTGGAGGCGTCTTTGGATACAATACCCTTCGTAGAGTTCATCTACCTGTCAGAATCACAGGAGGGAACACGAGGGATGTAACTATTTAATCCCACTTGAAAGAAGTTACACAGGCCATTGTTCAGTCCAAAAGATATTTATGTTTCTGACCTCAACAAGGAGACTCTAGTAGAAGTGTCATCCTTTTATTTATTTATTTATTTATAAAGATTTTATTTGAGAGAGAACGAGAGCATGAGCAGGGGGAGGGACAGAGGGAGAGAGAGAAGCAGACATCCCTCTGAGCAGGGAGCCCCAAGTGGGGCTCATCCTGGGACCCTGAGAGCACGACCAGAGTAGAAGGCAGACGCTTGACCAACTGAGCCACCCAGGCCCTCCCCCCACCCTGAAGCATCATCCTTTTAGCCAGAGACCCATCATCTTTGTTTTAGCCACTGGGATCCATTTTCTCTTTCAAAGCAGATTTTAATCTGAGCCTTCTTTGCAAATTACACGAAATGAAAATGGGCTTAACAATGGTGGGCTGTGTGAGCCAAGTACTGGATGAAGGAGACCGCAGTCTTCTACATAAGGAACAAACATAGGAAGGATTTCCACGAGGCTCTTACCACTTTAAGGGTATTGTCACAAGGTGATATTCACACATCTACATTTAGCATTTTTTTTAAAAAAGAACTTGAGCCAAGACTTTACAAAAATCATTTTCAATAGGGGCACCTGGGTGGCTCAG